GTGGCACCCTCCCGGACCGGGGCACGAACCCGTGTCCCCTGCATCGGCAGGCGGACTCTCAACCACTGCGCCACCAGGGAAGCCCCAAAGATAAATTTTTAATGGTACAATTCTCATATTTTGGGGCTGAAAACCTTCCTTTCTTTAGCCATTAAAATTTTTAAAAATTTCACCTCAAACCACAACGAGATACCACTTGAAGCCCACTAGGATGTTTAGAATCAAAAAGTCAAAGAACAGTAAGTATAGTTGAGAACGTGGGGAAATTGGAAGCCTCATAAAGTTGCTGGTGGATATAAATGGTGTGGCTGCTTTGGAAAGCAGTCTGCCAGTTCCCCAAACGATCACACACAGTCACTGTACGACTCAGCAGTCCCACCCCCAGGCGTCTGTCCGAGACAAGCAGAAACGCATGTCCCCACAAAACCTGTACCCGAATGTTTACGGCAGTGACGTTCGCAACAGCCCAAAGGTGGGACGTCCACCAGCTGACGAGTGGGGAACAAAAAGGAAAACAGTGCTGAGACGTCAAACAGCGTGGATGAACCCCTAAAACACCACGCTAAGTGACAAGCCAGTCACAAAAGGCCACGTATGACTCTGCTCAGATGAAAGGGGTCTGTGGAAACAGGACCCAGGTCACGATTTGCTTAGTGCTGGGGGGGCACTGAGGATGCTGGGGCTGCGAGGGCGACAGCTAAAGGGCGTGGGGTTTCCAACTGGGAGGGATGAAAACGTTCTAAAACTGACCGGCGTGATGGCTCTGCGTTTCTGTGAATACGTTAAAAACCACTGAATTGTACGCTTTACGTGAGTGATTGTATGGTTATGTGAGTTATATCTCAATAAAGCTGCTAAAAAGTTTCAGCTTATCCAATGCTGCTCAGGAAAAAGCAGACAGACCCCAGCTTCCAGCTTCCAGCCACCTTGACTTTGGGGCAGCAGGGCTGCAGACCGAGAAAGAAAGCCAGAGGAAGAAAAGGCTCCCGTGTGGCCAGCAGTTCTGGCTCTCAGAGAGCTGGCCGGTATCGTGGGGCCTGAGCTGGCGGAAGCAAAGCTCACGTCACCGCCCTAGCGGGTGGGAGACAGATGGAGCCGGGGGCTCGCGGATGGCGCTCACCCCTCGGAAGGAAGGGAATGAGGGCGGGGGGAGGGCAGCCTCAGCTGCTGAAGCAGCAGGAGACGATGAGCCGCACACTCTGCCTGTGAAGAGCCACAGGCACCAGCAGCGACAGGCACCAGCAGCGACGCCGTTTCCAAAATAACTAAACGTCAACTTCTTCCCCTATAAGAACAAACCTTCAGTATCGACCAGGGGAGTCCACCCAGGCCACACCAGGCCAAGCGTCACCAGCTGCACATCAACCCTGCGAGTCTGCAGATAATGCTTCCGAAAACTTAGTAAAAAATAAACCAAATCAGCACACCGTAAGATAGGTGTGGATGGCCAAAAAACCCCAGACGCACAAAACACGACACCTGAATCCCTAACGTCAGAAGACGTTGCCATAGAGGGAAAAACTAAAAACTCTCCTAACGAAAGCATGTTACCCAAGCTCACCCTCGCTTCCGTTCGGTCAACCGCACTTACCGGCACTGGTCCAAACACGGAAGCAGCCTCGCCGCCCGGGACCTGCCTTCCAGGAGGAGAGCCCGGCCAGCTCCGGGCTGGGGGCGTCTTCCCCAAGACCTGCCTTTTGTGCCACCAACAGAGGCCAACCACCCCGGGACCTCACTGCCCGGCACCTCAAGTCTATACCACCCACAGACCCACAGCGAAAGTCACCCAACCACAGTGTGTCTCTCAGTCCAACTGTACAGGGCAGGCGGGGGAACGACAGACAAGATCAGTGACCAGGGATGGTGGGGCAGGGGCGGCAGACCCAGGGAGACCCAGCCTGGGCTCTGCATCTCGGATCTTGGCGACGGCGGCCCACGGGAGACACTGGGGAGGAGGGAGCAGGGCAGAGGCACCTTCTCCAGCAGCCCCTCCCGGAGAGGGCCCCACAAAGTGCTTCATCTGGCAAACCCGCCCAGCCCGCTGACACCAGATACCAGAGCTTCAGAGACTTTCCAGGGACTGTGCACCTGATCCCCGGCAACAGCTGTGTGAGAGCCTGCAGAAAACGGCCACAGACTCCTGGGTAATTCTCCAACCTGGGCTTGCCTGGCAGCCTGCTTGATCCGTAAAACCTGGCAGAAGGTACACGTGTGAATTACAAGCCTAGACCTCAGGGACCTCACAGCTGCCACCCCCGAGCACATTCCCATCACCATGTGCACAAGGTCACGCCAGCTCGCTGGAGAGTGAGGTCCCACACGGAGAGAGGTTCCAGTTGGGGCCCCAGACATGTGAGCGAGGCCATCCTAGACCACTCAGCACCCAGACCAGAAGAACCTCCAAGCCAACACTCAGACATGCAGAAAATATTAAATATTTGCTCTTTTAAGTTATCAGGTTTGGGGGTGACGTGTTACTCAGCAAAGCTAACTGATACAGTTGTAGATGACTAGGGTACTTAGAAATAGAATACAACTAACTTACAAAAAAATACATTGAGTTTTAACTTCTCCTGAAAGGTATGCATCAGTGGGTAGCACAATTTAAAAAGTACCCTATCCAACTCAGGATATACAACAGCAATTTAATTCTTTAATTTCTGCTAACTCTGCCAGGTATATCAAAATACCAAACATGATGGTTCTATTTGGTTAAAAGAAACAACAATCTCAATTTATTAAAACTTTGACACGCTCTCTATATTCTGAACTTTTATAAAATGCTATCTCTGATTTAAAAGCGAATTTCTCAGAGAAGGATTACATCTTATTTATGACTCAACAATAAATGTGTGCTTTTTTCCTTTTCTGGTCCTAGGTTTAGTTGATAAAGACCCTTAAGCAGGCCAGAAAAAGATGCTCTAAAAGTAAACCCTAACTAATGCAATTCTTTTTTCTCTTCTTCTTTCCTTTCTTTCAAAAAATCTGAACCTCTTTTAAGCCTAGACCATAGCAAATGTGTTTATGACTACATGGTGGAAATTCTTCCAAACATTTGGCTGGAAGAGACCTGGGAGCCCAGCTAATTCCCAGACCTTTAACCTGTTTCTCCAGGTGACTCATCCGAGTACGGTAAGACAGGGACCGAGAGCCAGCCCCCCACTTCAGGGCTCAAAGGTGGCCTGTTCCCAACTCCCTGCCCTGCAAAGGCTGCTTCTTGCAACACAGGAGTGACTTGGGAAGGTGGACAGACAGGCCCTACCAGTTCCAGTTACCACTGCCCTGACGAAATGACATCTGGTTTCTTCCTCAAATAAGACCTAAAAGAAGCATTCAGGGTTCCCTGAGTTCAGACACTAGGAATCTAGGCACTAGATACCTGCCATCGAACACTCAAGGTGTACCCTGGGCTCCAAGCAGGAGGGCACCTCTACTCCTCAAGCCCCCCCAGCTGGCTCCTCCCCTCCGCTCCCCCCGCCCCTGACTGTACTCACCTCTTTCCTCACCTCCGCCTTCTCACGCAAGGCATCCTGCGATCAGGCTCCGCGGGAGCCTCAAGGTTTCCTCTAGGCCTCTTCACACCGGGCCCACAGCTCCTCAATCATCTTTCTATTTTCTGTGTAGCATCTGGACCTCTCCCCAAGCATAAATAAACCTCCTGCTAAAGTTTAAGTTCATTCTCTCGTCTTTACTTTGTGACATTAAGAGCAGGGGATGCTTCCAAAGGTATTACTTTAAACCAATATAAAAATATTAGAAAAAAGAATGTATTCCTGCATCACTTATGAAAATAAGTAATTTTTAAAAGAACATTCATTCTATTGCCATTTAGGAAATCAGAAAAGATGTTTTCAAACATTTGCTATATTCAACTGTCTTTGCCAACATTATCACTGCAATCTGTTATTAGAGAATTTTCGCAATAACAATGTTACTATTGCTGACCTAAAAAGACAAGCCCTGTGCGAGCGCTGTGCCAGGCTCTTCTTGTGCCGAGTGCTCTGCCCTCACCCCAGCCACCCTGGGAAGCGGGGACTTGAGTCACCCTCACATTCAGACGAGGACGCACTGTGAGGCTAAGGGGCGTCCCTCACCCAGCGGCTCAGCCACCAGGACCTGGGTGGAGACAAGCTGGTTCCAGTCTGCACTGCGTGGCTCTCAGCCAGCCTCTCAAAAGAGAAGAACGTCAAGACCACATTACGTCAGAATTTTAAGACAGGAGAATACCACTCCCCAAACTAAAAGGGGAAACGCAGACAGAGTTCCCAAGGACTTTATTACCAGCCCAGCCACTCACGGGCGACTTGATAAACAGGCAAAGTCTAACCAGCAAAATGGAGTTTGGTACATAATACCAAATATTACCCGACTTCTAGAAAACGCGAGGAACTTGGCCTCCAGCAATCACGCTTCTTACCTCAACGTCAAACACCTCGACGGAGCTGTCTAGCAGCTGCACTCGGATGGGTGTCCTGGCCGCTGGCCACGCCGCTGCTGCCGAGGGGCCCTGCCCAGGCTCGAGGGTGCTGACGCCCGCAGGGGTCGGGGCGCCTAGGCGTGTCCCTGGGGTCTGCAGGACGCGGTAGGTTCCTTCCAGCTCCCCCATTCTTCACCAGCTAAGAGTGAGGAATGCACTAAAACACACAAACCCCCCCCCAATTATCCCCAGTTATTTCGATATTAAAACAACGTAAGAAAATTATCAGGTACACAGAATTCTCTGCACTGTTTTTGCACTTCTACGAGTCTTAACGTACAACAAAATTAAGAGTTTAGAAAGATTATCTTCTCATACCTCGACTGGTAAGCATACACAGCAACACGCCCCAACACCACTATCGCTGGGGTGCGCGCAAGCTGGCAGTGCGTGAACTCATTTAACCCCCAGACCCTCTGAAGGAGCCGCAGCATCTCTGCCCACCGGCAGGGGAGGGGAGGCCCACAGCCGCCTGCCTCTCTTTCCCCAGACCACCCGGAGGCCCTGCACCTCCTCCCTCCACCAGCCCAGACATTCACGTGCTGACCACATGCTCTGTGTGCCGGACAGTGCTTTTCAGCAAAGGGAAAGGGGTACACACAGCATGGTGCCAGCATGGGTCCCGGGTCCCACCTCTGCTGACATGGTGGGGAAAATGCCAAGGAAGGTGGATGAAGACAGCCAGGCTGTCTGCCCGCTTTGCACACCCTGGTTTTTCTAAGCTGTGTCACCAGGCTGGAGCGGGGGCCACCAGTGGTTCAGGAGGTAACTTCAGACTTGGCGCTGAGTGACAGCCTGGTACACATCACGGGGAGCGCACACGGGCCACCCTTCCCAGCACCCGCCCTGTCCTGTCCTCACAATACCCTTGTGGTCACCACCACCCACGCCCTCCTCACCCATGACAACACCGAGGGTCTGCAAGGGTCAGAGAGCTGCCCCGGGAGGCGCTCGTGCCCTTTCAACCCGCCTCAACGTGCCGGGGGAAGGGTCTCCGGTTCTTAGCTGTTAAGTTGAACAGAGCCAATCACGCCATTGTTTTTTAACAACCAAAGGACAGGCTCAGTGCCTGCTAGAACCTGGTCATACTGCCTTGCTTTTAGTCATCCTTATTAATATAATTACCTTCTATTTATGGCCAATTCCCTTCTTAAATACGTGTATTTATGTATGAAAGTCAACTTAAAGAAACATACCTAATGGTTAAACACAGTATGGCAAACACAGATGCCAGATGTTTAATCAAGAAAGAATGCAGGGGCTTCCCTGGTGGCGCAGCGGTTGAGAGTCCGCCTGCCGATGCAGGGGACACGGGTTCGTGCCCCGGTTCGGGAAGATCCCCCATGCCACGGAGCGGCTGGGCCCGTGAGCCATGGCCACTGAGCCTGCGTGTCCGGAGCCCGTGCTCCGCAGTGGGAGAGGCCACAACAGTGAGAGGCCCGCGTACCGCAAAAAACAAACAAAACAAAGCAAGACTGCAGATGCGGTGAAAATCATTTTATTTTGCTTTAATCATCTTCAAACAGTCTTCTACTACTTTGCAGTAAATAGTTTAAGGAATTAATCTCACTAAACTCCTAGTCCTCGTGCCCTTTCATGCCAACTTAACTGCTGAGTCCTCTGCCTTTTCCTCTTTTTCGAGCTTGTTATCAAGATAAACCAACTCATGAACTTATTATCTCTTCAATTAAGATGGAAAAGCTCTCAGTGACCCACTGCCAAGCAACTCCTACTTAAACCCTACTGAGCGAAGACCTTCCCAACAATCTGCATGAGAATTTCCATGCACGTCTGGTTTATTAAACAAGCAAACAGAAAATAAGAAAGCTAAAACCACTGGGAAAAGTGAAATGTGCGTAGCATGAGCAAAGTGCTGAGGCAACGTGTCATTCTGCGAAATACAGCTCCTGACCCACCTCATGCACAAACGAACGGGCTGACCCCCTGCTCGGACTGGCACATAGATCCCCTGCGCCACACGTGTGGTTCAGGCTGGCAGTTACCCAGAGTCTTCAGAATTCTCTCTCCAGGCTGCATGCCCCCGGGAGCGGTCACTAATTCTGTAACTATTTTCTAAGTATTTACTTAATTAACGTCGCAGCCATCAAAGAACAGGCACCACGTATGCCGCAGTCAGGAACCACACTTCAGAAAAGCCCTGTATATGAAGTTCTGAGAGCCATAAATGTGAGCGTTTTCATGCCAGTCTCACAAACTTGAGTAGTTACTACAGAAGAGAGGGGTGTTAAGGAAGTCAAGCCCACCCCTCAGGTGTCTCAGGTGCGTACACAGGTGAGAGTAAAGCATGGTCAGCTCACAGCACTCGCCCAACACCCACCACCAAGAGGAGGTTCTCCTGAAACAAGCTACGGGATGTTTTACTTTGGGCACCAAAGTGATCCTTTCCCTTTTAAGTAAAGCTACAATTCTGAAAACATATATACAACCAAGATGTACTTTTAGGAGTCACTTCTGTTGTGTATTCCGTTGTAAAATTCTCATTTATATTACTTCGTAATAATTTTAGATGGAAAAAAATTTCTTCAGGTTCTTTCTCTTTTACTTATTATAAGAAAGTCATGTCTAAACGTCTACTTTAAAAAAAACAAAACAAAACAAACCCAGCAAGACTAACCTGTCTTGAGGGGCACATCCGGGTGAGAAAACTGCAAGAACAGGCAAGGAGGTTATTCCTAGAACAGTCAGGGCAGTGGTCCCCTTGGTGGGAGGGGCCTGTCCCAGGGGCAGGGCACAGGGGAGGGGTCCCGGGTGTGGCCGGCACAGTTCCATCGCTTCACTGGACAGTGTCCACTTCATTCATTAATCTGTACATTTGATTAATGCAGTTTTTCTGTATCTGTGTTTATTTTATAATAAAAAATATATTTAAACCAGCATACTTTTAATTTACCATTGTTTCATCTCTCATAAGAACAAAAGATACGTTAGACAGATGAAAAAAAACAATTTTCTTGGCTCAAGGAATTCTAAAACATGGCTCTTGAGAGGAAGCCTTTGCAGGTTTTTACACCTTCTGAGCAGCATGCTTACATCCTAGTTATCTGCACCTGGTCAAAGAAAGACACCCACACAGCTTAGGCTGAGACTCCGGACCACGAGATGGCCTGATCCCGGAGGTTCATCCGAGGGAGACAAGTTCTCTTAAGAGGAAGTGACCCCATGGGGCACCCTCCCTGCTGATATTCCAAAGAAAGCTCTGTTTGCTATTACACAACGGCAATGTGGCATTAAACCACCCATTTGATAATTACTCAGCTTTAAGTTTAAGAAAGTTTAGAAAGGAAGACACTTAATGGAAAACCGAATGTAACTGCTGTGCTGTGAATGTTAGTTAATAATCATGGTGTCATTTTAGAACAAGCAGCAGAAGGACCCCTCCCTGCAGGAGCATGAAGCTGCTCATTCAACAGTCTTGCTACATACAGCCTGATTGCTTCCTGTAGTCTGACAATGGGAAAAAATGAAAGGGAAAAATGTATGTACTGAATTTGCTTTACATAAATTATAAACTAACAGAAATTACTTTGTTTTGCTCTGTGTGTTTATAAATAAACATTAAAAAGGCAAGAATAGGCAAACTGGACTAGACACACAGAGCGCATCCCGCAGGCCTGCAGGCTCTAAACGTCAGGCATTAGCCCCTGCTCACTCCCCTGCTGCTGCCAGAGACGCTCTCCGGAAATCTGGAGGGAGTCAGCGGTGTCAAGAGTCAGGCGCCTACGCGGGACCCCGGCTCCCTTCTCCCTCCCAGGTGAACAAAATGATTTGCAGTCTTCGTTCCTAAAAACACTTCTGACGGCTGCGTACACATTGCCACCACTGGTATTTAGTGTGACCTACTACAAACTCGGCTCCTATATATTCTCATTTAATACAAAATTTAAAAACCAACTCGTGGGGCTTCCCTGGTGGCGCAGTGGTTGAGAGTCTGTCTGCCAATGCAGGGGACACGGGTTCGTGCCCCGGTCTGGGAGGATCCCACATGCTGCAGAGTGGCTGGGCCCCTGAGCCATGGCCGCTGAGCCTGCGTGTCCAGAGCCTGTGCTCTGCAGC